ACGCTCGTGCAACTTACCCGCCATCAGGCGGAGGGCTGAGTGTGTCGGGTTGGAGGCGAAAAAGAGCCTCGGCGTGTCGCCGTAACTCGCCGCCGCGTACGCACGACTGCAGATAGCACTGGGTACCCCGCATCGACGCAGCGCCCTCCCAGCGAGAGAAGGCGAGCCTCCTTTTCAGCAGCCGCCCGAGAGGCCCCGACGGGAACGCCAGCGATGACGCTGGCGGCGCGGGTGTGGAACTTCTCCAGGCGCTCCAGCGCCGCCGGCGAAGCCGTGTTGCAGCGCGCCACTGCCCCGGAGAGGAGTTGGGGGACCCACCAGCGAGGGTCTTGGGCGGCGGACGCGGTATTTCACATTTCGGCCCCATGTGCTCGCTGACACCGCCTCGACCTCCGTAAGTCTTGTTTTTGCAACAGTGAAGCACCCTCGCGTCTGCCAGCCAAGCCCGCGCAATGGCTGGATCAAAACCGCCCCGACGACCGCGGGAGGCAATCCTCCGCCAAGCGGGCCCCTCCCGCGTGCGGCCGCAGGCTTTCCGTGAGGGCGGTGCCAAAACAGCGCGCACTTCTTCGCGGCGCTGGGCTCCATATTTGTTCCGCTCCACCCATCTCGAGGTGCTGCCCAACGCCTGCCGCAACGTGCACTCCATAGCGCCTCTCCCTCTCTCAGTGGCACGAGTGGTGGCGGTCAGGTCATCGGCGAAGAAAGCAAGTTCAGGTTGGGGATGCACACCGGTTCCTCGCTGAAGCTGTTCGCGGCAACGATGAACGGCAGCGTGCCGAGCGCAGAACCCTGCGGGACGCCACGGGTGAAATGAACCGGTGCGGAGAGCGCATTTTGTACACGCGGCTTTTGTCCGCGCGGCAGGGAAAGTAAGTCCGCCTCCCACCGGCTCAGGCACGGCGCCACCTTGTGCGCGCGGAGTGCGTGAAGGATGCGGCCGTCATCAACCATGCCGAAGGCCCCAGCGTGACCCACCAGCACCGCACCGACCTTCCCCCGCTTGCCACGGTGAAACGATCCCAGCAAGCAGGCGAGTCGGCGGATCCAGTGTGGAGCGACCAGGGCGAAAACCAACTTGCTGGGGAAGAAGTTGGGCTTCAACTGTGCCGCGGATGCGTCGTGCCACAATTCTTTCCACGAGCTTGCGCGGGCAGCTGGTGAGGGCGACGGGCCGAAGCGAGGCGGGAAACATTTGCCCGGCTTCCCAGGCTTGAGGAGTGGGACAATTGCAATACCCGCTTCCCGGGAAGCCGGAGTGCCACCGTCGCCGATGCTCCTGTTGAACGCGGCCGCGAGTTCCTTGCAGGCGGCGGGGGGCAGTTGGTGCAGGGCCTCGCAGCGAAGCGCAGCAGGCCCCGGCGCACTCCGGAGACGCATCTCCCGCGATGCAGCGTCGAGCTCCCCAAAGGGAAATCAGACGTGGCGGCGCACACTCGCGCCAAGGTGTCGGCGCGCTCGTTTGTGGCGGTCGGTTGGCCATCCGCCGCCGCAACCGGCAAACTGGCGGGGCGCGGGGCGTAGACTGCGTCGGCGAGGCCGCAGCTTGCCGCCTCCCCCGGCACCGGCCGGGAGCACCGCTCCTTCCAGCGAGCAACCGCGACATTGCGGAGACGCGTTCGTCGCTGCTGTGCGAGGCGGCGAAGCAGCAAGTTCCTGCGCCGCTCCAAGGCGGTCAGTTTCGGCGTCCAGAACGGTGGCCGCTCTGTCTTCCGGGGGCCGGGGGGGGCGCCGATCCCCGCCTGGAGAAGTGCGGGGGCGGCGCCGTAGAGGCGTTGGCGCCAAACCAAAATGCCGAAAAATTTTTGAAAAAAGCACCCGCACTCGTTCACAGCAAACTGCGTCTCAAAGAGAACACGCAACGCAACTTGCCCCTCCTTCAACCGCTTCACCGGAGGGGTCCGCTTCTTACGCTCGAGACCGCCGGCATTCCACCGAGCGACCCGCAGAACAGGACCCTGATTCAATTCCGCGTCTCCGCGCACAGCCGGAGAAACCGCCAGTGAAAAGCCCACGGCGCGAGGGATGCCGCCACATTTTGGCGCGTGCAGTCGTTTGGCGGGAAATCAACTGCATTTGTCCCGGGCCTCCTGAACACGGCGCTGCGCCCAAAAAAGGCCGACCGCCGCCAACAACGAGTCAACGAGAAGTCGAAGGGAATATTTGCTGGCTCTCGACTTCCCCCGTCGCGAGGCGCCCAACCCTGGCACCGCGGAAAACCCTCCGCCAGCTTCGCCGGCGACTGCTGGGCGGCGGTGAACCATTTTCTCGGTCACCTCAAGCAAGGCAGAGAGCAACGTAATCGGTCTGTAGCTCTCTGTGCGGCAAGGGATCCTTCCCAAATTTGGGAACAGGGATTGTGTCCCCCTTCTTCCGGGACATCGGCACACAGCCATCTGAAAGGCAGATGTTGATCATCGTTCCAGATCTCCCACGGGCAACGGGCCCCAGACACTGCAGAAATTCATTCAGAATGGCATCCAGGCCAGAGGCTGCGCCGTGCGAGGAGTCGCGGATGGCCAAGTCCAGCTCGTAGGGCGTGAAGGGCCGATCCATTTCCCATTCGCCCGGGGGCGGCGGAGACGGCGGGTGCAAGACGCCGCCAGTGGTGCGGGAGCACGTGAAACGCAGGCAAAGTGGCGGACAAGGGGATTGCCTGCTGGCGTGGCAGGGCGCGAGGCGCGGTCGC